CAATACTATGACCAATAGGCCAAGTAGTGCAATGCCGATTGGTCAATCGAAAATGGATCGGTCGCTAGACGCAGCCGAAAATGTTTGAGATTACCAGGCTCAGCACGCTTATGTGTACCAAAGATCAACGGTAAACTATTACCGGACGGAACAAGCGCAGTGCCGTATAATTATAACGTAATTTCCGACGTTTAAGGCCAGGTGATTCCAGATTTACCCTAGTCGAGGGAAATGTAGCATAACCGTAACAAATCGACGACGCCGGTCTCTGACAGAGCTCATTCTGGCAAAAAAGATGAAGTTTTCCAGCTGTTTTTCATGTGAGTGAAAACACAGACGTCCCACAGACGTTCCGAATGTCCGAACAGTGGGACGGCTGATACTGCAGCCGTCCCACTGTTTCGATGGCGTATTTTCGCGCTTTTTCTCGAACGGCGGCGCCCGCTTCCGTGGATTAATTACGTGACGTAATAATGTACGAGCTCTAGTTCAGTAAGTGTATGTTAATTGACAGAACGTTTTCTAGCAATGGCGACCAGAATCAGGCATTACCTTACGAATGGATAGCCCCACTGGATGATAGGCTTGTCGTTTGGCGAACGCTAATTTTGCGGTTTATCGTCGCCAAATTTCCTACGCCAAACTTGAAAAATACGCTTGGCTGAGCGATTAGTGCAAATTCCAAGAGCTGCTGATCAAGTCACGTGCAAGGACGTTTATGTGACCTATTTTAAGGAAACACTATCAACAACATTATTTGTCCAACCTGTTGCCACTTTTGGTATTGTTGACAGCGCAGTACGTAACATCGACACTAAGTTCTTTTTTTTCGCTTTGTTGCACATTGTATATCCGACTCTGAAAACATGGCGGTCTATGCAGGTACGCAAAAGTATTTCGCTGATGTGTACTGCCATCCCGAACGCCAAGTAATTTCACCTTCTGAAGCTAGGCTTTGAACTGCGTAGTATAGCTGGATTTCACGGACATCTTGCTTTCCTTTTTATACCTACCGATGTTATTGAATGGCCATATAACACACATGAATAAAACGCTTGATAATGAGAGGTGTGTGCATGTAGATCATGGGTGAGAGCTGTGTGGATGTTTGTCGCCATCTTGCCGTTTTTTGGGGTTGGGAGAGATCGGTTTTCACCATCAGTTACCACGTAACGGAGAGAGCAAGACGTCACTGGAGAGCCAGGTTTTATCGTCCGTCAGATTCCGCAATTGAGAGAGAGCGTCGTTTTCCGGTTTGGTCGTCGTGAGAGATCGCTCGCATTCCAAAACCTCGAGACACATCTGCTGCGCAACTTTTAACGCGTGTATTTGGTGTCTTCAGAAGCTTTGTTTGCGCTGGGCGTGGCAGTTCGGCAAAAGTATTGGGCACAACAACTGAATCCTCGCCCTACAAATGTAGAAGGGAATGGGGTAGGGAGAGCTCAGAGGCCCCACCCCTAGAGTTTTTCAGGAATAGCTTCTTAGTGGTTTTGAGCACGATGCTGAAATTTGGGATACTTCAAGTTACATTGCTTTTACACACGTAGAAGTTTGAAATACCTGAGATCCACAGTTCATCATCTACTGCCTCTTTCTTGAGGCCATTTCAGCAACATTTTGTTGAAAGACGTCGAGAGACACTAATTCATGCTTGAAAGTGAAGTCTGAAGAGACTTTTGAGGTTTTCCTTCTGATTTATATTGACTTAAAGACCATCGCTATTGTTTTGGCGACTTTTGCAAGGCCATGCCATCCCCGGTCAATCTGGTGAGACTTTGGCCATGGTAACCAAATTTTGTTGTTTCATCTTCACACAATTCTTATACTGATGGCACGCTTCGTTCATATGATTCTTACGTTTTATGAAGATCTTTCTAACCACGTTATTCTCATTGCCGTGGCTTGTTTATTTCTTGATGAAGCCAGACTGGTCAGCGCAACAGTCGCCTTCACCGCTCTAACCGAAATTAGATGTATCGATGGATACTAGCACCTATTTTATAGTTCTCAACAGCGATGTGACGCCGTCTCCGGCATTACCATAGTACGCTTATTTCCTTAAAAGACGTGACAAACTAAAACGTGCTTAACTGATCTCGTTGACCTGGCAAAGGTCACATTCGCCTTTGCTCAGACACACCCATCTGGTGAAGTTTGATGAGGGATTTCCAACGCCGTCCTCTGCGTGGCTGGCTTACTTAGTTTTCGAGATGTTAAAGGAGGGGGAGTCTCTGAGGCGCCAATCCTAGGACGGAGGTAAAAAACGCCCGCAGGACAGTGCTGATCTAATCAGGCTGATATAATTTAGCACTTAATTATATCCGCCGATAATCGGACAATCATTTAGAAACAAGAAAAATGTGGTATGATTGAGAGCATATCAAACTTTTTTCGCAAAGTTTGTTTTTAGTACAACCGTACTGTTACGTGGAAAAACGGGACCAGTGGAGTCACTGAATGGTGCTTCCCCTGGTGATTAACAACGGATGTTCGAAACGTTCGTTCGCTTGCCCAGCTTTGGTCTTTGGTCTAAGATGAAATCTCGGAGGGGTCAAGACCCAAACAACAGGCTACGTTTCTGAGAGAAACCTGAGAGAGAACGCATTAGCTTTTTACCGCCGTGGTGAAGTCAGTACTGTACTGTGGAATCCGTCGCTGATTCATTGATGCAGGCTACCCAAACGAATGTTGTTGTCTTTTTACCTTGGAGGCGGCTGGGACTGGGTCTGATGACGCGGCCCTGTCACACAGCTGCAATATTTGGCGCATAGTGTTGATAATCTAACGATTTATCGACAGTTTGCCGTGTTCTCGAAGATACCTAGGCAAGGAAACGGCTCAGCGGCTTTGTGAAGGTTGTTCACGGGGTCGACGATGAGTAAGGCTCAGCGATGTCCATGGCCTGTTTGTGATGGCTGGTCATGGATTGCAGTAGATCGGCGCCTAATAAGAACTCTATGGCTGTTTGAATCGCTAGTCGCGGTACAGCCTATAATGATCATGATGGATGCTGAGTTTGACAAGTGCGATGCCTAAATTTTGCTGGCGTGCGCTTTGCTCGCCATCCGTTTTACTGTATTTCGTTACATACGAGTTATGCTGAGCCCGCTGGACGCCACATCCTCACCATTGTGTCGTACGGCATGACCATGAAGCTAAATAAACATGATTTGTATTAACCCATTCGTCAAGGATTGCGAGGTACTGCACGGATACACAAGTGAGAGTGAAATTTAATAAAACTTATCTGGAAAACAGATGACGACGTAGACTGCAGGCTGAGAAAATAGGTTTGGAAGAACATGAGACGACGTCCCCACTCTCCTTCGTCGGAGGGGAGCTATCACCGTTTGCCGCGCCAGATGAGAAAGAGGTTAACACTACTTCGTTGTCATTTCCTCCCAGGTCACACCACAAATGCGAAACTTGAGCAGTGGGTGGCTTGTTATCCAGACAATTAAGCCGCGCTCGGCTCAGCTCCCGCGGGCTCTCCCGCGGCCGCAGCCTCTCGTGCACAAACGATGCACCCGCGTGTTGAAGTGCGTTTTTTGGTGACGAATGTCAGATCACAGCAGCCGAAGCACATGAAGTCATGAGATCAACTGCACAGTGTTGACGGCTGTAAGTCAAAGATGGGTCTCGAAGTGGTCCCGTCCACAGGTGCGCCTGTGTTCAATCGGAAAGCGGCCAGTAAAACCCCTTTCGGGCCTCCAACGCAGGATGCCGTGAACTAAAGAAAGATATATTGGACCATGAACATTTCATGGTTTAAATTGCTAATCCTGCCCACATTCATGCCTGTGGTTTTTTGATACATGTTGTTGGTAAATTAAAGCGCCTGTTGCGTCAATGGGCCTCCGGCAGTTACATTTTTGTCGGTAGCATCTTAAAAGCAGTGGTCAAACCTATTGGCATCGGAAGCCAGAAGTTTTTGGCTCGATTAGCTTAGTTTTGACATTGACAGGATTATACAGACCCCAGGACAGCTCGATGCTGCTGTGCACACCGAAGTTAAAACATTGCGCACTCCATGCGACAGCTCAACGCTGCTGTGCACACCTGAGTCAAAACTTTGCACATGTCACGCGACAGCTCGACACTGCCGTGCACACCCGAGTCACAGCATTGCACACTGCATGCGACAGCTCGACGCTGCTGTGCACACCTGAGTCAAAGCATTGCACGTGCCACGCTACAGCTCGACGCTGCCGTGCACACCTGAGTCACAGCAATGCACACTCAACGCGACAGCTCGACGCTGCTGTACACACCCGAGACGCATCACACAGCTGAGACAAACAACAACGCTGAAGAACAATGCTGCTGCGTACATCCCAGGCGCTGCATGTTCTCACAGCAGCCAGTACGGGCTAAGCGTCCGGTATGACCTGGTGCCGCGCGAGACGTCCTGTTGGTTAGCAATGCATGAGATGTTCGCAGCTAGTTTATAAGCTGCCTGATGGCCCAGACGGCTTGAATACCGCCCTGGCTGAGCGCAGGCTATCTAAGCAGGACACCACGTAGGTGGCTGTGTGGTTCGCTGAGTGTGCACCTATACGAACAATTACCTGGTCTAAAGCACTGTGTAGCAATGAAGCACCCCGGGCGCGTGTAGCAACGCTGCCTTGCCACCTCGAATGCGTGATGCTGTGGCTCCTGTGTGTGTGTGTGTGTGTGTGTGTGTGTGTGTGTGTGTGTGTGTGTGTGTGTGTGTGTGTTGTGTGTGCGCGCGTGCGTGTGTGTGTGTGTGCGTGTGTGTGCGTGTGTGTACGCGTGCGTGTGCGTTTGCGTGCGCGCGTGCGCGTGCGCGCATGCGTGTGTGCTGCAGTATTGTGCTGTCGTGTGAACTGCGTGATCCTCGGCTGCTGACAGCAGTGTAACCATGCCATGACAACTGTGTGACGTTGTGGCGCCTGCAGTGTGTACTTAGAGCAGTGTTGTCCTGTTATGTCGACCATACGCTTCCTCGGCTATGTTCAGCGGTGTTATCCTGCCGGCAGTGGGCGCCAAGGACGTGGACTTCGACTACCCGGACGTGCTACCCGTGTTTGTGACGAAGCCGGCCGCCTTCAGCGTCAAGGAGGGCGACACCCTGGATCTGCCCTGTCAGATCCGGGAGCTCGGTAAGTGTGTTCGTCCTGACCAGGCAGGCATCGTTTACCCCGCACGGTAACGCAGTGGTGCAACTCCTCGCTGGTAATCGCCCCAGGACAGTAGTGTCCAGGACGGGGGTGATCAGCGCCGCTCATCGCCTTAGGACAATAGTGCCCAGGACGGGAGTGATCAGCGCTGTTCATTGCCTCAGGGCAGCAGTGCCCAGGACGGGAGTGATCAGCGCTGCTCATCGCCTTAGGACAATAGTGCCCAGGACGGGAGTGATCAGCGCTGTTCATCGCCTTAGGACAATAATGCCCAGGACGGGAGTGATCAGCGCTGTTCATCGCCTCAGGACAGTAGTGTCCAGGACGGGAGTCATCAGCGCTGTTTATTGCCCCAGGACAGTAGTGTCCAGGACGGGAGTCATCAGCGCTGTTTATTGCCCCAGGACAGTAGTGTCCAGGACGGGAGTCATCAGCGATGTTCATCGCCTCAGGACAGTAGTATCCAGGACGGGAGTCATCAGCGCTGTTTATTGCCCCAGGACAGTAGTGTCCAGGACGGGAGTCATCAGCGCTGTTCATCGCCTCAGGACAGTAGTGTCCAGGACCGGAGTCATCAGCGCTGTTTATTGCCCCAGGACAGTAGTGTCCAGGACGGGAGTCATCAGCGCTGTTCATCGCCTCAGGACAGTAGTGTCCAGGACCGGAGTCATCAGCGCTGTTTATTGCCCCAGGACAGTAGTGTCCAGGACGGGAGTGATCAGCCCTACTAATCGCCCCAGGACAGTAGTGTCCAGGACAGGAGTGATCAGCGTTGTTCATTGCCTCAGGACAGTAGTGTTCAGGACGGGAGTGATCAGACCAGCAGATTTCGTAAAAGATTGACCTGTCAAACACAGGCGGCTTGGTGAGCCTAGCTGTCCGCAGTGCCCTGACAATGGCACATTCATGCGGAAGCATGTGTGGAACCCTCGGACAGTATGCCGCGTCAGTACAACACAAGCTGCTGGATTCTTAACGACAGGCCATCCCAGGAGAAAGTGTCGTGGTATGTTTGTGCTTGTTTAGTTATTTATGCTGGTGATGTGTTTTATGGGGTGATTCACGTGATGTAGAAAAGGCGTTGACTTATGCGTCTTCCAGGTCCGTACCCGGTGGTGTGGCGGAAGGGAAACCGGGTCATCAGCGCCGGCGCGGTCATTACGGCCATCGACCGCAGATTCCGACTGGTGCGGGGTCATGACCTTCACATAGAGCGGGTCAAGGTCAAGGATACCGGCACTTTTACGTGCTCTGTCTCAACGGAGACGATAATGGATGTCACACACAAAGTGGACGTTCTCTGTGAGTATCCCGGGGCCGGGCCGTGATTGATCTGCAACGCATCCACAGCGTCGAAGCGCTGCCATACGCGTGCACGACCCGGTCAGATCTGTCGTCGAATTGCCTCAACGTGGCGCCACCTGTGGATGATTGAGAGCTTCGGACGCGGGGTCTTCTAGCCGCATGGTTGATTAGTCGCGAAGGCTTGGCCGCCTGCCAGCCGGTTTTCAGTTCGAAGGCTGGCCGACTCGACACCGGTGGCTAACTGGCTCGACACCGGTGGCTAACTGGCTCGACACCGGTGGCTAGCCGGCTCGACACCGGTGGCTAACTGGCTCGACACCGGTGGCTAACTGGCTCGACACCGGTGGCTAACTGGCTCGACACCGGTGGCTGACTGGTTCGACACCGGTGGCTAGCCGGCTCGACACCGGTGGCTAACTGGCTCGACACCGGTGGCTAACTGGCTCGACACCGGTGGCTAACTGGCTCGACACCGGTGGCTAACTGGCTCGACACCGGTGGCTGACTGGTTCGACACCGGTGGCTAGCCGGCTCGACACCGGTGGCTAGCCGGCTCGACACCGGTGGCTAACTGGCTCGACACCGGTGGCTAACTGGCTCGACACCGGTGGCTAACTGGCTCGACACCGGTGGCTAACTGGCCTGACACCGGTGGCTAACTGGCTCGACACCGGTGGCTGACTGGTTCGGCACCGGTGGCTAGCCGGCTAGCCACCGGTGTTGAGCCGGCAGGTCAGTGCTGTTACCTGCTGATGGCTAATGTATGATGCGTGGTATCAGAACTGGCTTTACTTTTGAGTGTGATGTAGAAAACGCGTACCGTCTTATTTAATCAAATCACTTAAAATGTATCTCAAGATCCCAATGGCAAAGCCGATTAACTCAGGTTCTGGGAATGTTTTAAACACCTGCCAGGCCTTGGGAAATGGCTTGAAATCTTACCAAATGATGTCAGGTGGTTGCTTAGATAGCATCTCACTAACCTGTAAAACTATTAAATTTGGCAAAAATTGCTACCAGAAAGCAAAACAATTGTTAGTTCTCCTTAAGACAAACAATTCCTTTCTTTATTTCTAATTGCATCATTGTTGTTCTGCCAATGGAAAGACTTCAGCTTCCGTTATATCTGGTAATATTTCGATAGGATTAAAGTTTAAGTGTACATGTTAAAAACACATCAAAATTTAGCGTACGATTTGAAAAATATGACCAATTTATTCCCTGCAGGATGCTACAATTATCGTGGAACGGCGGACGGAGTGACTTCATGCATTCCAAATCCACCGCTTGAATCCGCGCGCATGCATTTTCCAGCACCTTACCAGCCTTCCAAGGCTGACCAGCCAGGCCCAGCCGGTCGCCCGGAGGCTAACCGGCTAGCTGGCACGCAGCGCTGGTCGGCTATTTGATGTAATCCTCACAGGGCACTACACGGGAGGGCGGGCGGGCGCTCTACGCGCTCACTGCACGCAAGCCAATACTGGCGGCGCGCCAACTCTTGGCACGTGCACTCGGCACCTGCCAAGTTACCTGCTGTGAAAAGTACGACTTTTAAGAAATCTGTGACCACCGTCAGAGATGTGACGTGTCGCGTGGCAACTCTGTGGTCTAAAGCACGGCATCGTTCTGAAATGAGTTGTATTTTAGTGAAGACAGCGAAACTGTATGTTTTTAATAGTTCAAGTGTAGAGCCACCAAACGACACACTCATGCGGACCTATCCACTGCCGGCTTATGGTCGGTTATTCGATATGGCTTATGTGAGGCACCATAGCAAGAGACGGGAGGTCGCTGTACCCATAGAGAACAGGCAGAAGTGATGTAGCGTATCGACACTTTTCTCACGCGTTCCGCAATCTCCAACGCACCTGCCGTAATTAGGACGTAAATGTGGCAAACCTAGGGCTGCCACTGGTGACGCCATTAATCACGTGGCAGCCCAGTGGGCGAAAATACGGCACGTTTTAAAACTTATTTATAGTACAGCGCTGACGGGAAATGCTAGCGGCAAGCCGGCTCGGCACAGGCAGATAACGGCTAGACGTTGTTGCCACCAGCTGATGGATGATGACCGATGCGGCGTTCAAGAATTGAATTTACTTTTAGGCGTGAGAGTGAGATGCATCCTCTATCATTCCACATTTATTCAAAGCAATTTAAATGCACCTCAAGATCACAAGAACAAAGCCGATTTTCTAAGATCTCAGCTAAACTTCCGAAATAAACCAGAACAGAAAGGCTCCATGTCCAATTGTGGGTGCCGGTGGCACCGGCCTGTATAACACACCGACACACCTTCACAAGACGTGCTGTTGGGATCGCCGCGTCCGACCGCAGAGACGCTGGACAGCGTCACACCGCGGCGCGGGAGCGGACGTTGGACACAACGAATCGCGGCGGTGCTGGCGTCGGACCGCAGAGACACCGGACAGCGTCACACCGCGGCGCGAGAGCGGACGTTGGACACAACGAACCGCGGCGATGCTGGCGTCTGATCACGCGCACGGTGTCTCAGGTCGGACCACGTGTCTCACTTTGGATAGGGCCATTCCCTTCGGACACGGCATGCCCCTTGAACCTTTGGACACGGCGTGTCCTTTAAATCTTTGGACACGGCCTGGTTTTTGGATCTTCGGATAAGGCGTGCTCTTTGATTCTTCGGACCCGGTGTGTCTCTTGATTCCTCGACCACGACATACCTTCTGATTCCTGTGGCACGGCGTGTTTTTTATTCTTCAGACACGGCGTGATTCTTGATTCCTCGGATACACCGTGCCTCTTGAATCTCCGGATACGGCGTGCCTCTCGGATTTTTGGCCGCGGCATGCCTCTTAAAACGCGATATCTTGCCGGGGGCACGGCGCTCCCGGCGGGAGGGGCGCATACAGTGGTCCAGCGCGAATACGTCTCACCGGAGACACTACGTGCCATCTGACACATGCCGTCTTACCTCGGACACGACGTCTCACCTGAGACCTTACTTCTCACCTCGGACACGGCGTCTCACGGCGGTCACGCCTGTCACCGAAGACACGGCGCCTGACGTCTGGCCTCGCTTCACGCATGGGACGCGGTGACTCACCCAAGACACGACTTGTCATCACGAAGACGGCATTCCAACATGGACACGGTTTCCCCACTCAAACGTGGCGTCTGGACCTGGGCATGGCGTCTGGCAACGGGTGCAAAGTCTCGCCTTGGACCTCGCCTGGCCTCTCGCCCCCACCGACAAGTTGCAGGCGCTGCGTGCCAGTGCAGACATCACATCCCATTAAGAGCATGGCGTTCCACGGGGACGCTGCCGGACCACGCCCAGCCACGTGCCACCGCGCGCGCCGTAATCACTGCACCTCGTCGCATGCCACTGCCTTCTCCGAGAGAGCGCTGGCGTCGTAAGCTCCCCGCAAACGCCGCTGTCACTGCGTGTCACCGCAGCAACAGCGTCACGTCGCTGACACTTGACTGGAACTCAATCCAAATTTCTTTCGAAATGTATACGAATATTTCCTCTCGTATACTCTGTGGGCAAGTATGTAAGAGAGATTCTCGCATCTGCTTGGTTGGGTAATGCGCGCTGCCGATATCATGTGCGAGACGCGCCAAGACCGTGTGCGCATGCGTCGACAGCGGGAAGGCGGAGGCTAGCCTATCACACCAGGCTACGGCGATGTTGTCAGTAGCAGCATAGAAGCTGTCTGCGAAGTTGATACCGTCATCCGAAGTGATAGTCAACGGAATATGAGACAAATTAAAAATGAATACCAGAGTAAGCCTTGAGTAATATCATTCGCCTAATATTGCAATGCTACTGCTAGAATAAGAGCTTAATCACAGAGCGATATCTGTTTCACGAAGCTCTAGTGTTATATCTTCTAATATTTCTGGGACTACGCGCCACACAGGCTATCCCCAATTCTGCCACACAGGCTGGTCCCCTTCACACAGCTTGATCGGAATAAAAAACGATGTATTCTCCGTCTCATTTACGCCCTGCACCTTGCTCTCAGCCACGCTACCCCCAAGCGGCGCTCAAGCCGCTATCGCCACTTCCGACAGCATCAGCGGATGGCGCTTAAATCACTGCGATCCCGAACACTACAATAGCTGAAACATTTTCCTTCAAATACCTAATTACGGTATTAGTAGCTCCTTGCATACCATGTATACTCATGGTATCAAGATACATGAGTACCGCGTACACCGGCCCGGAGCTGCTGAGCTGACGGCGACGGACCGGTCCGCCGCTCCTCATCACTGACTGTCAGCGTGTGGGGCTCCATGGAGGCGGTGTGTCCTGCAGCATGAGCAGCGTCCGTCAGCGTGTGGGGCTCCATGGAGGCGGTGTGTCCTGCAGCATGAGCAGCGTCTGTTAGCGTGTGGGGCTCCATGGAGGCAGTGTGTCCTGCAGCATGAGCAGCGTCTGCCAGCGTGTGGGGCTCCATGGAGGCGGTGTGTCCTGCAGCATGAGCAGCGTCTGTTAGCGTGTGGGGCTCCATGGAGGCGGTGTGTCCTGCAGCATGAGCAGCGACTGTCAGCGTGTGGGGCTCCATGGAGGCAGTGCGTCCTGCAGCATGAGCAGCGACTGTCAGCGTGTGGGGCTCCATGGAGGCAGTGTGTCCTGCAGCATGAGCAGCGTCTGCCAGCGTGTGGGGCTCCATGGAGGCGGTGTGTCCTGCAGCATGAGCAGCGTCTGTTAGCGTGTGGGGCTCCATGGAGGCAGTGCGTCCTGCAGCATGAGCAGCGTCCGTCAGCGTGTGGGGCTCCATGGAGGCAGTGCGTCCTGCAGCATGAGCAGCGTCCGTCAGCGTGTGGGGCTCCATGGAGGCGGTGTGTCCTGCAGCATGAGCAGCGTCTGTTAGCGTGTGGGGCTCCATGGAGGCGGTGTGTCCTGCAGCATGAGCAGCGTCTGCCAGCGTGTGGGGCTCCATGGAGGCGGTGTGTCCTGCAGCATGAGCAGCGTCTGTTAGCGTGTGGGGCTCCATGGAGGCGGTGTGTCCTGCAGCATGAGCAGCGACTGTCAGCGTGTGGGGCTCCATGGAGGCAGTGCGTCCTGCAGCATGAGCAGCGACTGTCAGCGTGTGGGGCTCCATGGAGGCAGTGTGTCCTGCAGCATGAGCAGCGTCTGTTAGCGTGTGGGGCTCCATGGAGGCGGTGTGTCCTGCAGCATGAGCAGCGTCCGTCAGCGTGTGGGGCTCCATGGAGGCAGTGCGTCCTGCAGCATGAGCAGCGTCCGTCAGCGTGTGGGGCTCCATGGAGGCGGTGTGTCCTGCAGCATGAGCAGCGTCTGTTAGCGTGTGGGGCTCCATGGAGGCGGTGTGTCCTGCAGCATGAGCAGCGTCTGCCAGCGTGTGGGGCTCCATGGAGGCGGTGTGTCCTGCAGCATGAGCAGCGTCTGTTAGCGTGTGGGGCTCCATGGAGGCGGTGTGTCCTGCAGCATGAGCAGCGACTGTCAGCGTGTGGGGCTCCATGGAGGCAGTGCGTCCTGCAGCATGAGCAGCGACTGTCAGCGTGTGGGGCTCCATGGAGGCAGTGTGTCCTGCAGCATGAGCAGCGCCTGGACCGATCCTGCGCATCAGCGCACACACCGCCACACCATTCCAGTACCGCTGGCAGGTCAACCCTCAGCTGCCAGCGCCTCGCGACCAAGGCATTGCCTGACTCCCTCATGCACATCTAAGTCAAACTCTTATTACTTATGGAAGAGAATGTTGTTTCATCTGACATGCGCTTGCCTGGATCAGTCCCCCGACGCAGCGAGCAGCCGAGCCGTCCGTCAGGCCGACCGCCTAGCTGCTGATCACTTGATCGTCCTGGTGTCTTCATGGTCATCGCAGGCAGTGGAAAGTAAAAAGAACTGCCGGCAGTCAGATGTCACTGGGATTGGCCGGCAGTTACCTAAGTATACATTACAGCCTTCGAGATGCGCCGAAATGCGTACAAAGGAGGACTAACCCATGCCATTCCGTGCGTGCAAAGATGTCTGCCAGGCCGACTGTATTGAAAATAATACGTTTATATGGATGTTTTATTGCACGACATTTGTCGGGGTAGGCACGTCATTATAAAAAGACAGAGAACAAGCGATGTTGTTGATGTCATACCACACATTTTGAGCCGGCTGCGGTGCGCTAAACCTGATGTTCGCTGAATATATATATATATATATATATATATATATATATATATATATATATATACGTATGTATGTATATGTACATATATATATATATATATATATATATATATATATATATATATATATATATATATATACGTATGTATGTATATGTACATATATATATATATATATATATATATATATATACATATACATATATATATATATACATATATATATATATATATATATATATATATATATATACATATACAGATATGTACATATACTTAAACGACCTAACTGGATGTTCACTGATGTGTTTCCTCCTCCGCTCCCATCATTGAGAAATCCAACACGCAACCCTGGTGCTCACAGACGCATCCAATTCATCAATGTATTGAGAACGGAGGCATGGAAATCGCCTCGCTTCCAGCCCATATACCTTTAAGACACAATTCTGAAAAGTGTAAGTTCGTACCTTGGCTTTATGCAGCAACTGCAGCCCGCGTTTCGGCGCTGGATGTTTCTTGACGCCGCCGGCAGATGTCAGCCGGCGCGGCCCGATGTCCGTCCGGGTCTGGCCGCCCGCGGCCTTTCCAATCACCCAGCCACCCGGGAACGACCACCCACACTCGATAGTCTGTCCCATAAACCACATCACCCAGAAATGGCTTGGTTTTCCTGATTTGGTAAGCTGTTCAAGCTCGGCCGGGTCAGACTCGTTTGGGTCGATAGTTCAGCATCGGCTGTGTGGACGCGGAGCCACCGCGCGCTGGCAAGGATCTCGAATTTTGACTTCCCCGGGGTTGGGGTCATGTCTCGGGGCATTAACAAGCGTCTTTTGTTGGCGTAACGTTTACCGAGTTTATTCTCTTGGCTGCTATGGTATCTTCTTGTATGGGAGGAATAATTTACTCTATGGCGATGAAAACGACCGTAAGAGCCAACTTATTGGTTTTTACAACACCCACAACACCCAGTCTGGGCTCGTCATAGCGTACACTTTGGTGAAGTTGGGTAAGCGCAGTAATGCACATTGGTCATCATCGTCATCACACCGATCTGTTGGCTGTCAATGACGCGTGCACTGTATCACTGCGTCGAAAGACTAGATACTACGCTTGCGCCGATGTACAATACATGGTGCATGCCCCGGTAGCCGTCCGTCAAGGCCAGCTTAACTTGACGGGGACAAACTCTGGCAAAGAGACAAACCTTCCTCACTGACTAGTTCGCACGTACTTCACCCCGATGCCGGAACCGGGAACTTCATCAACTGCGGTTCGCGTGGTGCACCCATGTTGTGTCCTAAAGATGAGCTCTGACCGCGACTAGAACCGAAGTCCACATCAGGTCACCCCCCCCCCCCCCCCTCCTCCGCCATTTCCGGCCCATACGAAGCGGAGTGTTTGACTCAGGATGGCCCGCGAGATCAGAGGTCAGAGTTCTCGTGTCTTGCTGTCTGTCGGCCCGGCGGGGTTTCCGTGGGCTGTGGACTGTGGATCCGACTCGCAGACGACGACCCAGCCGACTAGAATGGTGGCCTTCAAGGCGCGCGTGATGGACGAGAACGGCCCCAGCCAAGCCCGCCAATAATTGCAGCGCTATGGCGTATGAATAAAAGATGATTCCGTGATTAAATTTTGTGTGGATTGGACGCGAGATGTGTCGATGTGTGGCATATTATGCTAATCTGTATTCCTTGCAATTTTGCCGTGCCCTGATTTTAAAACACTGAAATGCAGACCATGCAGACTGTGTTTAGGTTCTTTAAATGAATGAATGAAATAAATTGGCAAAAACTGTTTCCCAACGGAAACACTTTCATGTACTGCAGATTACCAGCGGCCTCCAAATTACGAAGCGCACCAGTTGGCCATTGCAATTAGCTGAACGGAGCTGGGCTCCCCTACAATTGTGTTTCAGCTTAAGCTATTGTAGCATAATTTGGAGAACAATTAAACAAAAGCGGGTTACGCTAAAACGGTGTTTGTATCAATCACTCGTGACTAGAAATGAAATGACGTCGTCGCGGTACATTCCGACAAACATTGCGTCGTAGATGGTAAGAACTGACATGCTTATATGACAAGACCTTTTTTAGCGGCTAGCCTTGTTGCGGGGACTATGGCTTGTTGCCACCTTGTGGGTCCGTCCATGCCTGCGTGTTAATACGAACTATTAATCCAGGTGATCTTGCCGCGTGACGTGCGCGATGCGTGATGTACTGATACAGAGGTTTTCAAACGGGCCTGCAGTGTGTTGACTGAGAACGGTCCTGCAGTGTGTTGACTGAGAACGGTCCTGCAGTGTGTTGACTGAGAACAGTCCTGCAGTGTGTTGACTGAGAACGGTCCTGCAGTGTGTTGACTGAGAACGGTTTTCCAGACGGTCCCAGTGTGACAACGATCCCGGAATCTGGACTGGTGGTGGCCCAGCGAGGGACGGACGTGGTGCTGGAGTGTTCGGCTGAGGGCAAGCCGCCTCCGACAATAATTTGGAGGAAGCAGGTGACCACTGCACCTTGACACGGCTGGAAGCCATTTTGATTGGTCTGGAGTCGTGTAAAAGAGTGTGCAAGTTTGCATTGGTGCTTAGGCTAGCGCTTTGAATGGTGGTTTTATTTTTCTCAACAGGCAGTTTGTAAATGGTCGTTCATGGTCAATCGCTGGCTATCTGTACGAGTAAGCCTCTGTCGTGACACCCGGCTAATCAGAACATCTTTGTGGACAGACTTTCGTAACAGTTCAAAATACATTTCATTTTCCATATTACGTTGATAGCATCTGGCTGTACAGGTTTGTGCTCTGTGGTGATACTTTGTCCCTCTATTGGCAGTCTGGCCGTCTGCCCAGCGGCGATGAGACGTACCCAGGGGCCCGGTACGCTATCTCCGAGGTCACTCGGCAGATGGCGGGGGTGTACGAGTGTGTCGCGGACAACAGCCTGGGCATCACGGCAGTCGGCAGAATCAGTCTCCAGGTGCAATGTGAGTACTGAGGCTTGACACCTGTCATGCAGTAACAAAAATGAATACGTGTCAATTGTAGTCCCACACTTTGATGCCTCTAACACCTCTGCTTTCTACCGTACTTGAGGGTGAATGCGTCGGCTACAACCAGCATTGATATCGGGCAAGACCGGACGGGGTTGGCGCGGCTCACAACCCAGTACCACCCTTGCACCCTCTTCTCCTCATTTACCACTTCATGCTTTTTCCTCATAACACCTCGTCTAACACGAACGCCTCGTCTCGCCGGGGGCACGCGGCGGCCGGGAGCAATGCGTCAGCCCGCGGCCGCCCTGGGTGTGTGCTCCACCAATGCACCTGTGCACACCCGGTAGAGGGTCTCTGTGCCGGGTGAACTTAGGTGACAAGGGGTAACAGAGGGTGGACACAGCACCGCCCACGTGCTGTCCTCCATAATCGCGCTGTCTGGAATGATATTTTTGGGTCGAACAGTTCTAAATAAACCCATCTGAAACTGAAAGCAAGGCCACGATATTGGGAACGATGTGGCTCATTTCGGAGAGTGTTCGTCTCAAAGCCATAAGTTGTGGGGTTCGAACCTGGCCCCCGTCGAACGTTTTCATCGCCCTCACGTACATCGGCTTGAGAGATTTAGACGGCAAAGGACTGGGGCCGTAAAAGGCGTTGTTAAATTACAATACCAACAATGATTCGACATTTGTGACAGGTCGAACTTGACCCGTGCAGAGATAGCACAATAGCCAGAAAATATCATCACTCTGTACCGTTTCATGTCGGTCACTTATAAAGTGACAATATATCTCTGACTGCTCGGGCCCCTAAGTTAATATCTGGCCAGGCAACGTTGAAAAAAACAGTCTGCCATGCCGCGCCTAGTGCTTTTGTAAGTGAGGCTGAAAGAAATAAGTATGTCAACGCTTCAAGCCCTGTCCTTTTAGACGAACGTGAAATTACCCAGATCAACCTAGGAAATGCTTGCATTTGATTGCAATCATGGACAAGGTAATCTTTTGGATCAACAGCTGCAGCTCTCTTATTTCTAGGAATCCATTCCGTTTTCAACATGGATACACCGTTTACCGTTTACTAACGTGATTTGTTAAGCATGTCCTTTTATGATGTGTTTTGTTTACAGCTTCACGTCTTCTTTTTGAAGCTGTGTAATTTAGCAACACATCTTCGTTCAGTTGAGAGCCGCACCAAAGCATGAAGCTTTCGGCCGATTCACCCATCACAAGTCGCCGCCCTTTTCCTAAACGGGTCGTTGCAAACACGGATCAAGTGCAGATCTGGAAGTCATGGTTGTGCAAAGATAAAGACAAAGACACAAAAAGACAACATTTGAAAGATCTACAAGATCAAAGTTGTGTTGTTTCATCGCACCATTAGAACTCATCAGCGTATCGCGGGCGCTAATGCGAAATCAATGCTCAGCTCCCTTGTTTGTCCCATCCCTTGCTCACGTCGTTAAGGGCATGTAATTCAAGACAAACGCGGCGGCCGGGTCATCCATTACCACCGCTCAATACCTGTGTCAGTCGTAAAAACTGCAGTAATTTATGGGCACCGCTGTTTTCTGTTCCCAAATAAATCCTTAATCACGCCCGAGCTGCGTGTCCAGAGCCGAACTTTGGCACATCGTTCTCCGCGCGCGAGACGTGCTGTGTCGCGTTGTGGCGAGCTCCGAGGAGCGATACGAAGCACATGCTCACGTGTGGTGGCGGGGTGCTGTGGCCAGCTACTGACCTGACCCCGCGCTGGCTTCAGACCCGCCCGAGGTGGAGGTGGAGAGCAGCACGGTCCACACCGGGGAAGGCTATCAAGTGAAGCTCATCTGCTTCGTGTTTGCTGATCCCCACGCTGAAGTAAGGAACTACGTTTAGTTGCCGTGTATAGCACAAGGTTCATACACATGTGCGTAGTAGGAGCAGTTCAAATGTGTTTGCTGTATACGCACTTGTTGTAGCTGGCAATTTTCTTCCCATGCTGCTAACAACCACCAGTGCAATGTGGTTTCTGTTGTCCTTTCATAGCACATGTCCGCGCTGCTCAACCACCATTGCACTACCCAGTCGGGAACAATATCGTAAAACATGATTATGTGTGGCACCAAAAATCTCCTTTTAGTTGTGAAGTCGTTAACAATTCGTTTGAGGTTTCGTCCTACGAGCTGAACGAAACCACAAAAGTATAGAAGCATTTTGAATGCAATACACGTCTCAATATATTGGCCTAGCGTACTGATTACAGTGATCATCCGCTGCGTTGCTGTTCTATTCTATCTACACTATGGTTGCTCTGAGTGCGGCCAATGGACATATGTCAATCTAGTGTGGCATGCATGCGTTCAGAACCGTGTCGAAGGGCGGAGAAAAAGTCCACTGTGGGCAGAGAAGGTCTCAAGTTAATCGGAGATGAACTGACAGTAATTGAATCATGCAATAATGATCCACGGCACCGAAATAGGGCTATTCTAACGTAGAGTCATGCCAACCGGTTCGTTCTAAGCTAGCTGATAATGGATAAGGACGGTATTTATTGCATTTTTTATCATTGCCACCGTCGCAATGGAAGCGGGTGAGACAAAACGGACACGGAGGCTGAGGTTCCATCACTTGACCTGGGTTCGACTGTACAGTCGTTAGAACACGCTCGGAAATGTCGCGCTCACTTCAGCAAGCCTACGTGGGTGCATCGACAACTGAATGCCTGTAATATGTATGCACGTCGGGTATTCTTTCTTGCGGTATGTCATGGGGTGCGTGTTGCATGACGACGTGTCATGTGACAATGCAGGGCAAAATAAATCACAGCTCACAGCAATATGCTTTTCGTAAAGTCAGCTTGGCCAGTTAGATGACCCTAAATCTGTGAGTGCTTCAAAACATGATATGATTCCTGTCGCGCGTTACGGCAATATGCTGCCTAGTTGCATTGCGCTCAAGTCATATAACTCACATCGATCGAATTATATAAGGCCACCAGGGTGAATAACTATTCACGCTCAATGGATATGTTCTCAAGAGTACGGGAGTTATTTGCGGTGGGAAAATTATGCAGGGGATATATTATGTTGTTCGTACACCACATTGTATCCGCAAACGCGCGAACCTTGCTTTGTTCGGACCATCAGAGAAGTTCTTCGATGTCGCAGCGGCTTCCATCTCGCGGGCACATCCACAATGGGCATTTTCTATCCGCCATCAGGTGGTGTGGAGTCGAGAGAACTCTCAGTTGGACCCCACCCGTCACGTCATCTCCGAGGACGTGGTCATGGGCACGCGTCACATCCTGACCATCAGGAGCGTGCAGCGGGACGACTTCGACATCTACACCTGCGAGGCGAGCAACAGACTGGGCTCCATGAAGGGACGCATGCTCATCACAGGTGAGCAAAGCCTGCCGCTATCACGCCACGGAAACTGAGTCACTGTTCCGGCCTCGTGCGGTCGAGGGACGGCACCTCACCGGCCCCGCATACTGACGCTCCAGACACGCCTCTCTCTGCCGGCCGCCTCTCAAGCCTCCTAACGTCCGCTGCCCTGGTCGGCTCGGCGCCGAAACCAAAATAAACCGTTGCAATACAGGTCTCCTAATGGCGGCGATGAAATTGGCCAAATGGCGCACGTCGGGCCGTAAGGGTCCACTACGGCGCCCTGATTGTCGCCGCCGCGCCGGTTATGGCTCGGGCGGAGGAGACGGCGCGGGCCGGCCTTCGGCCGCCGCTTCGGCCGCCGCCTCGGCCGCCGTGCAGCAGGCTGTAAATCAGCGGAAACGCCGCTCGAGCCGTAATAGGCCCCCAAACGTTTCACACGGACCGCGTCTGGATGCTGTACCCGGTCGGCTGCACTGGGCGCGTGCTCCTATTCGTATGGGCGCACTCCTGCGTACGTGCGTGCGTGAACACTAGACGTACGGTGTGGTGTGTTCCGTTTCCGCACGCCCTCGGGCCGCCCCCGACCCGTCCCGACTGCGGCCACGGGCCTGCCGTGCCGCGCGCCGAATGTGGCGCACGCACGCCACGCCGAAATGCACGGCCCCTGATCACACGCGATGGCCGCGGAGATATGAAGCTCCTCAGACGGCTCGAGGCCGGTTTCATTATGGAAGTCTTTGTGTTCCGGGCGTGTAGGACTGTGGTGGTTGGATGACTAATAGGGGCCCGGGCCGGTGTTTCGTCAGCTTGTTGCGTGGTGTCAGCGGCGGTGACAAATTCGGGAATATGCCAGTTATTTCCGGCCGTTTCACGCAACCACAGAAACAACGTCGCTTTGTGAACGACAAGCGCGGATGACTAAACATTATCGATTATGCTGAAGAAAATACGCATTGGCGGTGGTCCTATGTATTGCGTATGACGCCTTGTCATATATGTACGTTAAATTGACTTACACACGCCGAGTTATAAGTGAGTACATAGTAAAGTTTCGCGCATTTTACCAATTTTTAAGCCGTTGGGCTCATATCCTTCTTTAGAAAGGATTTGGTTATCTTTTCCAAATATTCCGTGTGGATCACCGGCCATGATCAAAACCTGGTGATCCAAAAATGGTTTCGCTTGTGTTTTTATCCAGCAGGATTGTTTTCATGTGCCTAGAATACCAAAACTCGGATGTACCGCGCTAGGTCACCTATAGCGGTATAGTTGGTTGATGCTTCAAGTGATCAGACAGTTATGTCAAAGCGAATCGCTTTCATGGCATGCCAGCACATTGCTGCCGGACACAAATCCTCGATGTGATCCCGCCGACAACTGGAATGATTTTCTGTGCATGACGTGCTTGGCTTCAAAAGGCATGCATTTGGGTACATAGACATGCCGCTGTTTGCTCTTCAATCCTGGCAGCATAGTTTGCCAGAACAGAGGTACGTCCGCCCTTTGTATGTCATGAATTTATGACAGACGCTGCCGTGTGTGTTCGTCCAGGTGTGGCAGACCGGGTGAGGATCACAAGTCCCCCCATCAGCACGGCTCCGGAGGACTTTGACCTTTCCTGGGAGGTGGAAAGCTACAGCGCCATACACGAGTACAAAGTCGCATACAGAAGGAGCAAGGTTCGTACGCTGGCAGCTTATGAACGTCAAACAAAAGTGCACATTGAGCATAAACATGAACAGAAATGTGAACATTGAAATTCAGCAGTAATCCCAGCAGCATTACATTTCCCTGTCACTTTACGTGGGAATGGGTAAAAGAAGCGATGTATCACGGAAAATTAGTTTTCATCCGAAGCATCGGTCGGTGAGCAAACATATCGATAGTGTGACTAACCTCCGTTTTATTCATGTGTAAGTTTTAAGTGGCGTTCTCTTGAGACTCAAAAACGCATGCACTTGCGTGTTTGGCCACGACTTAATTGCTCTGTTCCGCACAAACCCTCTACAAAACCCCAACAGAGCTAGTGCAGTATAGTCGTACCGCTGGTGGTAAGCGTGTAATATGGCTAGCGAAATGGACATGTATCCATGTAGCACAGTGTACCCAAAAGTTCTGCTTGACACGAACACCAAAGCAAACTGGAACTGAGCATCGCCCCCCCCCCCCCCCCCCCCAGTTCAACTCTACGGTGGCGTTACCGTCGCAGTTCAAGGAGGTGATTGTACCGACCACGGGCACAGGAGCCAGTCAACGACATCCTGCACCACCAGAAGATCACGCTACGGCAACCTGCAGCCGGCCACCACCTACGACCTGTACATCCAGGCCAGCAACCGGCACGGCTGGAACGCCGTCTCAGACATGTTCCACTTCTCCACGCTGTCCAAAGGCGAAGGTGAGCATGGGCCCTTTTGACATGCTCTTCACTTCTGTCCAATCACTGAAAGGGGATGCTCTGTGATGCGGGCATATTATATTTGGATTTCTGTCTCGTTTGGAGGAGGCAGTGACATACGTATTGCGTCGCGTTGCGTTGTCAGA